GATCTAAAAACTTCATAAAATACTGTGACCTAAAAAAGTTACATTCTAACCTTCAATTAACTTCAAATTCCGTTTTTCTCTTTAACTCTTCTGTCATATATAGACAATTGATGATGGTTTTTTTAATCTTTTAATCACTACTTCAAATTATTAAAATGTGATTTTCTTGCGCTATGTGGAGTCCACATTATGCTACATGGGGGAACTAAGATAAATTGTTGGGTAGGGCTTATGGGGTTTTGTCTTAGAGAATGTTAATCGTTGAACCATTATGCTTCTTGGGATTCTTTAGCCACTAAAATAATTGGCATCGATTTATACCAAAGCACACCACTTAGTCATTTTCCTTTTAAAAATCGCATTTACCATACTAAGTTGAACACGTTTTATTGATTGAGAGTCTCCAATCCTAACACTTCTTACATTCTAGCAACAACATATAATAGCTTATTAAACATATATTGATGTGCTTATAAAGTGTTTCAAATCATAAAAATTTAAGATTTTAAGTTAAAAATTTTAATTAAGTTAAAATTTTAAGATGAGTAAAAAGAGATTATAAGAAGGAAAAACATATTTTTTATTATAAAGTTTGATAATTTTATAAAGATATCCAAAAAAAAAAAGAAAAAGAAAAAGAAAAAGAAAACTACCAACCTACATTGATTTCACAAGACAAAACGCTAAAATCGTTAAAGGCTATTAGCAATTTTGACACCATCTATGTACTTAATTCTAGAATGCCTAGTCTTTATTTAAATAATAACATGTGCACCTTAATTTTCCATGGCTCCTGATTTTAAGCCTTGGAAAACTAAAACCAATGCTCATGTCTTCCTCTCACCATTTGGAATGTGTTGTAATTATCAATTGGGCCGATTATTTATAAGAATTTACTTCGGCTTCAAAGGTGAGTGGACCGACCATATTCAAATAAATTACAATAAGATGGATCTTTTTGTTAAGGTTTCTAATAATAAATTAATTTTATGCCTAATAAAAAAGTAAACGTTACTTACTATCTTTATGAATCAAATAATAATTATAGATTTATCAATTTAGTTTCTCTATATCATACGCCCTCAACCCATTCTTTATAAAATTAAATATAAAATAACACAATTAATGATAACACATAATTAAAAAGTTTTAAAAATGCAATCAAATTAGAGATATGGGAAAGAACAAAAATTGGGTTTGAGAAATGATGCAAATAAAGATGTGAATTTTACATTTTTTTTATTTAAGGATACTAATTTTGTTAGTTTTTAAATAAAGATATCAACTTTTATTTTTTTTATTTAAGGATATTAACTTTTATTTTTTTTATTTAAAAATGTTAATTGTTAACATTTCAGTTAAAAAATTCATTTGTTATGTTAG